ACTAGTGAAAAATGCTGCAGTACTCTTAGACAGGAATATCTGCTGAGATTGGCACCATTATTTCTGCTCTATCGTTACGGAGCATTAAGCTTTTAATATCTGTTTTTTTTCTTCTGCCTCCTTAAATCTTGTTTTTTTTTTTTTGTACAATAAAGGCATAAAAACTGTGTGCTAAAATAGAATATGCAAAACGATAGAAAAAAAACAGTCGAAGAGCAAAAAAATTTATTTAGGAATACTGAAGAGGAAAAAAAAAAGAGGAAACAAGAACCGGTTCCTTTCAATAAGTCATGTTTCAGCAGCGACAACAGCAGAGGAGAATTATACAACCTTTAATACTGTGTTACCATCCAAAATCACAGTCATTCAGCAGAAGAATGTTCTTTTCACTCATTCCTCTGAATCGCTTAATCTTCAAACTTGCACTTAAATTTTTTCCTCCTTTTCAGCACTCCACTTCCCTTCCTTTCCTCCCTCTCGTCTGCACCCTCCCTCCTCCCGCTGAATTACTCCCACCAATAAATTGTCCTTCTTTCCTTCCTGTTTTTCCCTTTTTTTGCATTTTTTTAGTGCTATTCTTTTGTTAGACATAAAAAATAGGATAAAAATAAGAATTAGAATAATTGGACAAATAAAAGAAAACGAGGAAAGCTGTGGAATATGGTATATGGCAGTGAAATGCTACCACTACCGGTAAAATGAAATCGAAAAGAGGTTGGCCATAAATGGTGTACAATAGAAGAAAAGAAAAAAGCAAAGTAAATATTGGGTAAAATGGGAATTGAAAATTGTTCTAAAAAAGTGAATGTTTTCTTTGGAAAAAGTATTAATATTTTTGACGAGGAAGAAATGTAATTGTTCCTTTATCAGTCAAATTTATGTAAGAGTCAAAAAAAAAAATTATGTTAGAAAATAAAATCCTTGAATTTAAAGTTACAAATATTTCAATTACTTTAATGTTTGATAATTCACAAAAGTGAAGCCTAACTATTACTGTGTTATTAAGCTGGTCATCATTCAATAAGTATCATTTTTAATGTCCTAAAATAATTTATACATTTCACCTAAGCTTTATTTTAACTGATTTTTTTCCGTTTGCAAAAATAGAATTTATTTAGCAAAGAAAAACTGAACAAAAAATATGCAGAAAAGAAGAAAAAAACGAAGTATAGAAATTGAAACAGGAAAAGAAATTTTTATAAAAATATAAATAGTTTAGATAAAAACGGAAAATAAGAAGAAAACAATAGGAATCTATTAACAAACTTCCAATTATCGGTGACTCGTAGCAGGGCACCTGACCGAAAGCATTCAAAAGGTCGTCAGCCCATGAGCGTTTTTGACGTCGTGGCGGCAGAGCAACCCGGTTACCCTGTTGCAGCGTCCATGAGACACTTTCCCATGCTAATCGAGCACCCGAATACTCTGTATCCCGAGTATCAAAACCCTAGAATGAGAAAGTGTTTGAAAATTTTTAGACGACCCAGCAAACCTTAACTTATTTAAACTGTGCCAACTTTTGGGTTACAGTTAATGTTAAAGTAATGTTAAAAATAAGAAATAATTGTAGCAGATATTCAGCTACCGAAAACTTTAATCTCTTTCAGCTGTTCAAAGCATTTAAAACAGAACCAAACTCTCTGTATCCTGCTCAATGTCTGCATCATTCAAACAACAATCATTTGTCAAAAGTAAGGTAAAAAAAAAAAAAGGAAAAATGAAAAGTCATTGAAAGGTGACGAAAACCTAATTAAGGAATTTTATGAAACTTTTTTCAGCTTTATTTTCCGCCTTTTTTCCTTCCTCTTCTTCCTTTTTTATTCTTCAAATTCCACAAATTACCAAAAAGATCAAATATGTTGCAAACAGAAAAAGAAACCAGTTCAGTACTGCTAGAAAACTAAACAATGATTTTTTTTTTTTAATTACTCCTCAATATTCGTCGGCTTTTTAACATTAATCGCAAAACTGAACCAATATTACTGAGATTAGCGCAAGCTAAGATGCTTAGTCCAGAAAATAAATTGGTTATCTGTAATCCTTCTTTCCCAGTTTTCAACTTATTTTTATAAAATTTAAAAAAAGAAGGTTATTTAATATCCAAAAAGTTAATGTAAATTTTAAATTCTTTTATTCAAATATCAGTTCCTCAAAAAAAAAAAAAAAAAAAAAAAAAAACCACTCTTAAACATTACAAAAAACTATATTTTTTGTCTTTGACCTTTCTCAAAAAAATAAAGTAAAAAAAAAAGAAAGTTGGATAATACACTGAAGAATAAAAAAAAAAGGTCACTAGACATTAGAGAAAAGATTGAACCACATTAAGTAACCGGTAGACAGCAGAAGACCAGAGAGGAATAAACTTCAGATGTAACAGTTACAAACCGCGCTGAAACCAAACTGAATTCTTTTCTTATCTTTCTTTTGTTTCTTTTTTTTTTTCTTTCAATCCAAATGTACATTAGAAGGAGTAGCGCAAAAACAGAGGAAGAAAGTGTTGAGAAAAAATTGTATAAAAGTAAAAAGAATACCAAATTAATCTATTGCAAAAAACCTCTTTTTTTTCCCCCTTAATATTCATAATTTGCCTATTTTCACTTCCTTGAGAACAGTTTCAATTGTTATGGCAATAACAAAAAAAAGATCCTTCTAAAAAACATCGTTTTAATTCACTCTAAAATTTTTGGAGGAAAAAAAGACAGATAGATTATAGTTTGCTTTCTCAAAAAAAAAAAAATTGGTCAAGTTCTTTTTTGTTTAGCAGCTGAATAACTGTGCAACTGGCAAGCTTCATCGGCTTCCATCTTACTGTCTCCAGGCAAACAAAACAAACATTAAAAAATATCCAAAAAAAAAAAAAAAAAAAA